AGTGGGAGAACTTGCACAATTGGTGGCTGACTAAATACTTTTTTGCCCCACTGTAGTTTACTATATCTAAGAAATTCTAGGTTGTGGAATGTAAGCAAACATGAGAATGGAATTAAGAAAAAGTGGTGCATCTCAAAAATAAATGATGGTTAGGCTTACCCAAAATAAATGTATTTTAAATGAAACAAACAAATCTGAATGTTAGTTAATGTTGGAAGAAATTTATGGCTGAAGAATATTTAGGTTTGTTTTTTTTTTATCTCCTTTTCTTCAAGAAATGTAGAGCCAATCAGTTTAGAACAACAACAAAATACAATTTAAAACTATAAAAATTAAAACTTTACAGCCTTGGCTATTCTACATCCTAAGAAATATGGCTAAACACTTTTCAGTGTTCCCTTGGGAGATTCTTTCCCTTGTTGGGACAGCAAGTCATCTACTAACTTCCTCCACCTCTTCCAGATATTCTTCAAAGCTACAAGAAGAGGGAGAAAACCTTTCTCTCCACCTTTAGTCATAACACCAGAAGCGATATCAAAATTGTTTTTGACAATTGCCTCTGATTCCTCCTTTTGGAAACAGTCTATTCTGCTGTCTAGACCAGTGAACCACTGTTACCATTGACAAATGTGTGTATGTATTAAACAAATTTGTATGGCCGCCCAACTCACACATGGTGACTCTGGACTGCTTAGAGAATTAAAACCCATAATACAAAAACCAATAGCCCCCCCCACACCTCCCTGACAGCAACAAACACATTCAGATTAACCATTTGATTGGCTCTGTATCAGCCTGGGGTGCCCAGGCCTGTTGACAAAACCATGTCTGTATCACCTTCTGGAAAAGTATCAAGGTGGGGGCCAGTCTTATCTCCAAGGAAATGATATAGGGAGGGAGCCACCATGGAGAAGGCCCTTTTTCTCAGTCCCACTAAATGTACCTCCCTCATTGAAGGGACCCACAACATACCCTGCCTCCCGCTCTGTGGACTGGGTAGATGTAACTGGGGAAAGGCAGTCCTTCAAATAACCTGGCCCCAAGCCACGTAGGGCTTTAAAGTCCTCTCCCCCCCCCAGCATCTTACAGGTTTTTTTAGGGCCAAATTATAGGAGGTTTTTAGGCCATT